CCCCCCCTTCTTTCCCCGACTGCGCTCCCCGTCTTGTTCCTGCACCGGCGTTCGTCTGTGAACACCGCTCGATCGCTGTGTTCTGCACAGGAGAACGTCGAGCTCATGACGAAGCGCCAGGTACCGTTGGAGAACAGGGACGAGGAGACAAGTCTCAGCGATGTCCAACAGGTGTGTGGGAGACCAGTACGCCAATAGACCGTCGAGAACCCCGTGCCTTTCCCCCTTCCCCTCCCGTATACCACCTTCAATAATACGTTGTGCTGCCAGAGATGAATAAATATGTACAGAGAGGTAATAGAGGTAGATATAATAGAGAAGCGATAGAAAGAGGGAGACAGCGAGATGTTTTCTTACTCGTCACTTACGCGCGTGGATTTCTTGTTTTTGCGCCCGGTGGTGGTTGATTGCTTCGTGCCCTCCGTTGTCTCTTTGCCGCTGCACTTCCTTCTCGGTTTCCGCAGCTCGCAAAGCTCTTGACGCACCAGCTGTCAGAACTCCAGGACAGCGGTATCAACAACAGCAAGAACGACAACAACAAGCAGAGTAACAACAACCAGAGCGACAGCAAAGTCAACACCAGCAGTCCCGAAGCGCCCAAGCACCGCTTGGGCTTGTTCGGAGCGGACTCCTCGATTCCCGAAGGCGCAGATTACGGCACCACGCCGGAGAGCTAGCTCGATCAGAGCGAGTGGAAGTGGAGGAGGAGATCAAAGGAGGTGTGTGCGGTAAGGTAGCTGGCTCCAGGCGGACGGGCACCTTGTCCCACGCCCGCTCGCTGTGGTCGCAACGTATCGGTGGAGACAGGGGAGAGCAGTGGATGTATTGTGTAAAGGGTTTTGTATTGGTATGAGGCGTGTGCCGAGGGGGCCGGACGGAGCACGAACTAATGATGTAACTTTTACGGGATTTTATTGGTGTTTTCTACATTGGAAATGTTTTTTTGGCCGGGAAAACACACTCGTCTCCAGGGAGCGATGTGCGTTGTTTCTTATGGGTGCACACGCACGCCCTGCCTGCCCATGGGATTACATAGTCACTCTACGGCACAACACTTAAGCATTCACCGGTGGTTGGGGGGGGAGACCCTCCACTCCGCGCCGCAAGTCCATCTAGATGCTATTGTGTGGTGGCGGCAAATATAGAAATGTCAATGGGCTGAATCCTTGCCGTTCGCAGAGAATACCCGGGGCGACCAAGCGCCGCCGCAGAGAGATGCTCGAGTTTTTGAGGGCAGGAGGAGTGTGAGGAGTGGAGTGGTTTGGAAACCACTGGGAGAGGAAGCAGTCCTTCTCTTCCGTGCGACCGACCCCGGTTGTGACCGTGTTATTTTTTTTTTCAGTTGCCGGCGACGAAAGACCGCAGCGTTGGTTGCAGAGGCGGGGGGGCGTATGGGGGAGGTAACGAAAGTAACCGCGTGTTTTTGTTCAGTGTCAGGGACACGAGAATGCAGCGTTGGTTGGAGAGACGCGAGGGGGGGGGGGCTTGTTGGGGGCGTGGTGGAAGTTGCCGCAGCGCTATACAATGCCCCCCCGACCCTGTGTCGTCCGAGGAGACCCTCTGTTCTCCGAGGAGCCAGCCACTCTGTTGTTCGGAAAGCCTTACCACAGTGGTCCGTGGGAAAGTCGTCGTTTCGTGGGGACAAATCGACAGCAGTTGGTGGCCACGAGAGCAGCAGTCCCTCCGGTTGTCAACATGTGTTGCGGAACACGGAGCGTTCTCTCGTTGTGTTACAGAGCGCGACGCATTCTGCCAAAGTGTGTTGAGTCTTGTGAGAAAGGAACGGAACGCTACCCTTGGGACCTGGACGACCAAGATGCGGGGTTGCGTGTACGTGTATACCGTTCACACGATGTAAGACGGCACACACCCTGGACCGATTTTTCAAGCTCGATCACTCGGCAGAAAAGCGGTGACTGTGCTGGCAATGGTGGTCTGTGTTCCCCCCCCCTCTCGCCGAAAAGGGGATATGGCTCGCACCTTGTACGCAAGACTCGAGAGTGGAATCAAGGTAGCGTGGCACACGGCCTCACCCCCTTCCTATACGTGTTTTTTGGGACGAATACTTGTGTGTCTCGCCCAAGGGTCATCGCAGCATGGCCCTGAGCCAGGCGGCGGAATATACGTAGTAGCTGTCTGCGGCAATAGAAGAGTTTCTTGATCGCTATGAACAAGATGTGGACAGAACCCATCGCAAACTCTATCGGCGCAGCAAAGCGGTTCTTTGCACTCTCAGGCGAAGATTGAAACCATTTCTTGATGGGCTTTCTGACAGTACGCCTCTTGAATGGGCTATTTTCCCGTCACCTCTCTTGAAAGTTTACTGCTATAGCAAGTGGCGGTAATTAGCAATAAATAGCGACTACTGTAGGGAGGAGTTCCTCTCGCTCCTTCGTGGTGGCAATCCAAGAGTCTCCACCTCGGCAGCCGCGGAAATGTTGGCCGCATGCATGGTCAGCAAAAAATCAAAACATTCTTACATACTTCTCCAGCCTATCGCTCTATCAATATGGCTCTCTCCTCCTTTTCGGCGTTGTTACGATGCCCGGGAGCTCTGCAGCCTTGCCGTTGTTGTCAACATCTCCGACTGCCGGCGGTCGCGGGCCATCTCCGCGAGGCGCTGGCGGGTGCGAAAGTCGCGGGCGCGAGCAGAGCGCTCTCGGACCTGGGTGGTCGTATCACCGATGCGAATCAGGGGGGGGGTTTACTCGTTGTCATGAAGGGCCAAAGGATTCAGTCAGGCCGTAGGCCCCACTTGACACCCCCCTAGAAGCAACGGCGGAAGAAGGAGCAAGTGGAGAGTGTGGGATTGACGCCCGACAGGGTGGCGTGTACCAGCCACCAGGCCAGCTGTCTGACCACAGTCTCAAAACGAAGGCCCCCGTCGAAATATTCCTGCTTGAGGCAATACCAGTGCATTTTACAAAGTGGGATATTGTGCGCGCCGTCGGCCTTCCGCCTGACCATCAAATGAGGGAAGCTAGGCTTTTCACGAAAGTATTGGCCGTAGCTCTTTGTTAGAGAATTGCACGAAGGGTGGCCTGTGTCCTACGCACAAGTGACGGAGGCTGTTCTCAGGCGAAGCGTCGAGAGACGCCACCTACAAATGTCAGAGCGTACCTATTGTAGCTTTGCCAATTTTTTGGTGGACGGTTTTCAACGGTTGGGAAGGACGAACAGCACAGTGTGAGAAACTTGCCGTAGGAGATCAACATCTACCCAAGAGAAATTTCGACGATAATTTCAACGACGAAATAACACCTGAAGAAGGGGCGACCGCGTCTGTCTGCCGGCAATCTACCCCGTGGTAGCTAGGCCGTATTCTACGACGAAAAGGTTCTGACCAAATTTTTGTTCGAGGCGTGGTAGATCTCTCACCTGAGAAGACATGACACTCGTCACCGGGAACGACTCCCAGGCATTAGTAAGGAAGCGGTCCTTGAAGCAGGAGGGAAGGGATGGGAGAAAGGTCACACATCGGAGTGCCTCAGCCGTTTGGTCATCGACGTCGACCGAATCTTGCAAGATGCAGAGTATAGACACCCCTACAAGGCATTTTGAGGTCTTTTCCAAGCAAGTCTCTATCATACAAAAAGCTGCGTTATCCTCCATCACGCGTGGTTTCCAATCCACAACCACCGGCGCTGATGGGGTCCTACGTTGCGTCTTACCCTCTTCGCCACACCCGCCGGGACGTACACGCACTGAAACAGCACGGAAGCTGTGAAACGGCTTAAGGAAAATCCTCATGTTGGTCTCGACAGCACGATGCCGTGAAGATCTCTCTAGTTTGTACACACGGGTCCGAAGGAAGAAGCGAAGCTGAATAACCGTCTGTGCAACAACAAACCGATTTCAAACTGGCACGTATTAATACGGCAGTCGAACGGTGTTCAAACCCAATGGAACCCACTTTCCACAGAGTGTTTGGGTCATTCTGTTCAGCTACCTGCCGCAGGGTATCCGCGTGATGGCTGTCTCGGACGTGACCGAAGAGCAAGTCGAAAGAAACGCCCTCGCGGTTCTTGTCCTTGATATCCTGAAGTTGTTGTCGACACGAAACATAGTTGTACCATTCAGTTCGTCATTTTGCACCCCCGCCGATGTCGTTTCTTTCAAATGCAACAAAGTACAAATGAACTCCCTGCAGAAACCGGAGGAGTCAGAACGATGCGTTTGTTTGAGATACTAAAGTGACGATATTGTGAGGGCTTGTTGATCTGTTCGTCTATACAAAGTAGCTGTTCCAGGCCTCTGCGACCTGCCGCAGCTTCTGCCAAACGGTTCGAACAGAGAATTCCTCCGTATCAACTGTCGAAGGAAGACGTAGGCTACCACGAAGCAAGGAGTCCCAGCAAATGTATTCAGAACCACCACCAGTCGGATCAATGATGGGCACACACCAGATGTACCACGACAAGTAGATACATTCATGAGTGATGCGGTATGTCTGTATGCCGACTTTGGCGTACGTCCGGCTCTCACTGCTCGTCCTGCTGCTGCTGTAAAAACTGCATTTGGTTCTCACCGACGCAGACATCATCTTCGTCTCGTCTCCCGACACCACCGTGTTATTCGTCATCGTGCTTGGGTGGACGAAGTCCTCGCGCTCCACGGTCGAGCCAAGGGCCGGCCGAGGAGCTTTCGCCAGCCTTTCAGCTACGGTCTTCCCGATCCTGCACAACGATTCATTCATGGGTGAGCTTCGGGTGACCGCTGGAAGTTATCTTCTGCGTCTTCCAACAGCAGGGACGTCGACACCGAGATATATTTGGCCTTGGTAATTCAGATCGGTTTCCAGCAATGTGCTGCCAACAGCAGGCACAAATTCCGAAACACTATCGTGGACTTCACGTATTTGAAGACACTGGCGAGCTCTTCCCATGGTGTGCTGCACTCGTAGAAAAAGGTACAGGCACTACAGCAGCAACTCGGCTCGGCTCTGTATCGTGCTTTCACTCGGTGGAAGTCGCAGTAGACGAGAAATTGCAGGGCGACGTGATGCTGATGAAACCTGCCGAGGGAATCGCTGCCAACCAGCACCTCGACGCACACTCTTGAACAGGAAAGGGACACCGGCCCGTCTACTTAGCTCTGGGTAGATGGACGCCATTGCTCTAATGGTGCCTTGTGCGTAGTTTTGTTTGTGCAGCGCACCCAAACGCAGTCATGTCTGGCGTGGTCGCGACACAACAACAGGACTACTGTAGGGCGTACACTATTTTCGGCGCCGACGCGGTGGACTGTGTATAACTTGTTTGACAGTAACAACCTTCCTCTACAAGTCATGGTCTTCATCTGCACATGAATCCACACCCGGTCTATCAATCACACGCCGTCTGTGGGTTTCTCACCTATCCTCAACCCAGTTTCCGCATTTCGTCTTTGAGCTGTACGAATTTTTCTGCCCACAGATGCCGAAACCTGTGGCACTCATCACTCTTTGCGGGCTGCCTGGGAAGAAACAGCTGACTGTCAGGGCTCGGAGCTCTTTGCTTACCAAAAGAACAACTGCTGTATACTTCAGATATGTTAAATGTGCGTGTACGGCGGGCAACAAAAACATAATGTCGTTCCCGAGCCTAGGTGTCCAGACCTACTGTACCGATCCCTCCATCAGGTGAACCGGCACAAAATGCGCCGCTTGACCCACCGGTCTTACCGTACCACATGCTTACATGCGTGCAGTGTACCACAGCGGTAGCCGCCCCGCATCCCTCTCTTCTCGCAACATGTTTACGCACATAGATTAATAAACTCTGTCTCGTCTCTGAAGCGCACTGCATACTGATACATCTCTCAAGGCCTGCGATGTGTCTGCGTCCGTCTGTATGCATTGGTAGCGTTGGGGGCTTCGGGGCGTGAGCATTGCAATCTCCAAATCCAAGTCTGACACACGCCAACCGTCAAAACTGTATATGCGCCGCATCTGCGAAGAAGAGCAAATGCGAAGAAGAGAGCGAAGAGAAGAGAGAGACGAGAGGGAGACAAGCAACAGGGGGAGGCGTCTCGACTTGTACCGTATGAGTGGGGATGAGCGACAGGACTTCACGGCAGGGGTATGGGTCTTCGAAAAGCCGTGCTGAAGGAATGATTTCACTCCTTCTTCGCGATTAGATGTACGTGCTGGTGGTTTGGAAGGTACCAGCGTGAGCCTTGTGTCGTAGGAGGTGGGCGTGGAGGAGGCATTTCCTACCGCACACATGGGGCAGGATTTATTCACCAACAGAGAGTCACGGTCGACGCTATAGACGTCAGATACCCCGAGGACATCAATCTGCCACCCGTCTATTCTGAACGCCTCGGACTACACGTTTCGTTTTGTTGCGGGCAAAAAAGCCGGGTTCACTCAACAGAATCCGGCGTTGCTCCTTTTTCAGATTTCATCATGATCGACTAGGATCCACGTACGAGGTATAACAACAACCACAACATAGATAGTCTTTGCCTGACACACATACAGCACACACACAATGCCCCCACACACGCTATAGGTCGCCGGGCTCTTCGCACATCAACCCTGGGCACAAGCCCCGGCGAAAGGTGTAGCCTGTCCACCTCGAGCAAGCACATGACCCATAAAGCACGCCAATGATTACATTCATTCCTTCATTGGTCATATGCATACACAGCTCTCCAGCTCCTTTTTCACCGACAACCTTCTATGTCTTCACCACGCATTAAACCTTTCGATGGTAATGTAGCGACGACCAATATTTTCAGAACGAGAAACACAGCACACTGGCGTGGGTGGAAATCAAGTCTTACCGCGACTGGACGTGTCGCCACCAAACCCATACCGCGTCAGGAACCCACAACTGTTTCGAACGCAAGATTAAGACGCACACAAACACGTGTTGGGTAGCAAATCATCGGGGGCAGTGGTTTCACTACATATAACAGCAATGGCCATGTGCGATTCGATACCCCGGCTTGGCCGGCTCCTAGGCAACAACGCTTCGATGCGAGAATGGTAGGGCAAATTCACTTCACCTCTAGCCTATTGAAGAAGTCTTGATGTGGAAGAAGTCAAATCATGTGGATGTGCCTCCACCACAGCCAGGCGGCGCAATCAGCGATGAACGCCGAGAGCTGAATGGACACGCAAAACGAGGCCACGGACATCCTACCCCGGTGACCGTAGGCCCTTACCACCTTCTTCCCAGCACCCCTTTCATTTTTAGCGTTCAATGTTGCCGTTTGTGGAGGACTGCCACCCTCTGACTCTGAAGACGGCTTCAGGTCAGGGAGCGGGAACACGATGTCCCAGAATATGACGAGCACGCCCCCGACACAGAGCAGAAACGTGTTGAACGGCCAGCAGGTGCCTCGCATGGCGATGTAAACCACCTGTAACGGGGATTCCAGTTTTGAGGGTGCCGGCGTTAGTTGTGGCTGGGAAGATCTGTGGATTTTTTTTGAGACAAGTAAGAGACCCTTTAACGTGAGTAGCAGCGGTTCTTAGGGGTTGAGGACAACAAAGAGACAACATCTCCACAGGGAGTCGAAACCGTTGTTGAGTCCGCCACGTCGAGAAGAGCAATGCCGTCCTGCTCCAACACGATTTTCACAAGAAGCAATCGAGAGTTGGTCATGGATCGCGAAATGCCGCGCGACAACCCCCCCCTCGCCATAATCAATAGTGTATTCGATACGCACCGTCTCGTGGAACACGATGGAAACAACGAAGGTCGCGAGCACGGCCGGCACCCAAGTCCACTTCGACGGTTCCCCCGCTACCCCTGCTGTTGCTGTCGACAACTCAGCAGAAGGAGGGCGATCGGTGCCATCGACGCCGTCGTCGCTGGGGCGGCACAGCTCTAGCATGGGCCAGTGGATGCACGTGGACAGCCAGCGGTGCACGGGGGTGGACCACATCCGGAGAAAGTCCCGAGGCTCGTCGAAGAGCAGCCACCAGCACCCTGGAGAAAAAAATGTAGTTTGCGTTCGCGCAGCCACGGGGAGGACGAGAACAGTGTGGGAAGACGGGGGCGGGTTTCTAGTGACAAACGTGAGAGGTCGCGACGGCATGTTTGGTTTGCTGAAATGAGTAGCACCGACTGGGGATCGGGTGCGAGCATTTGCCACTTTTCACCGGGGTGCTGCGATACAGCTACAGTACTAGCAGCACGCACAACTACCCTTAGACGAGGCCATGTGTACGTTTTATCAGCGGCTTCTCTATCGGTTCTGTCTGTCTTTTGTCCCTCTCCCGTCCACTCACGCACCCGCTCTCCCCCCCCCACCCCCCTCTCCCTGTCTCTCTCTGACTTCTTCGTACCGTCTGCTTGGCTCTACTCTCGTCTATTATCCAACCAATATCTCTCCCGTTAACATTTTCTCTTTCGCTCACCCGCCCCAACTCCCAGCCTCTTCGTACCCCCTTCTCTCACAAAGTGAACCCTCACCGTACAGGTTGCGATCGGGGAACCCCCACAGCTCCGCCATCCCGAGACAAATGCAGTGCCAAAAGGCGTAGAACACCATGAAGTGGACAGCTGAGGATACGACTTTAATATAGAATTTTTGCAATGGGGGGGTGGGGGGGGGCGTTCTCTGATGTTTAGCATGCCTCAGCGGTTAGACCATTGACCACGCGTCCTCGAGAGGACGGAGCATCGTTCCCACAGGACCGATCACCGATGGCCAATCGCAATCGTTCCTTTCTACTTTGCCAAAGGTGACTCAAAAATGTCTTCCCTAGTCTGTCTATCCTAACGATAGA